AAACAATGATGATTTAAAACAGGCACATAGGCAAACTCGGCCCTCCATATGTTTTTGGCCTACGACTCCCATGATCCCTAGCTAGCAGGACCAGTGGCCAGGAATGATGGGAATTGTAGTCCCAAAACATCTGGAGGGCCGAGTTTGCCTAAGCCTGAAAATAGCAGCCATGTCAGGGTTTTTTTAAAAAAATAATTCTCGGCAACGTGTGTAGTTTTTCATTGTGTGTGGCTTCACACCGCTGACTATGCAATTAATGTAATGTGTAGTTCCAATTCCTAGCTTGTGCTCAAAGTTTTGCTCACAGGTTCGCTACTTGTATTTCACTAGTGTTTTTAGCCCATTTTACAAGGTTGATCTAATGATCAGCAGAGGTGGGGGGAAATATTGTGCAGGGCTTTTGCCTACCAAGGTCACAATCCTAAACCAGTTCAGCTGTGCATAGGATTGTGGCATGGAGCTTGCTAAAAACAATTATTTCTTATCCAGAAGCGATCTCTCTCTTAATACTGTAATGGCATGATTTGCAGCTTGATAAATGATAAAGGAATCAGTATAATGATAGAGGGGGAAAAGGGAGGGAAACCACACAGTGGAGATGGTACGGGGGGGGGGGGAGAAGCCACCTAGTTCACTCTGCTTTCCTATTTGCATCTATTTCCGCTAGTAGTTCTGTTAGACAACGACAAGAAATGAATTTGTAAAACTGATGGAACTGCATGTGAGAAAGGAAGAAGGGCTACCCCTATGCTATCCATATAATCAGTTATCAGTAATCAATATATTCATATATGCTCACACATAATCAGGGCTTACAGTATTTTATAATCCATTTTGAATCAAAGGGAAGCTGTGCCTTAGCTAACTGCATATTGCTTGAAACAGCAAAATTAGGAGCCAACCTTTCCCCTACAAACATCCGTGTACCCTGACAAGGAAGGATCAGAGATTCTGGTACAAAATCCCCTCAGATACAGGCTAAATTAATCCACAGAACAGGAAAAGCAAAACCACAAAATCTCCAAACTCCCTGTCCTGTCATAACTAGGGGAGAGGTTAGACAGAGCGTCACTGCAAGCAACGGAAAGCAGAACTAGAACTCCGTGCTTGACCAGTGCTTGACCAGGAGCTGGAAGCATGACAAGAAGCTTGCTAATTGGCTAATTTTCGCTGACAGTATCGTGAATCCCTCATGGTTGTCTCGTGATGTATGATTTGCTGTGATCTGCTCAGGTATAAAGACCTCTGGATTTCTGTCAATCGGGGTCCCAGTTCCTTTTGGAAGAGATTCCAAACTGGGTCCTTATTGCCTGGCAATAAACTTCACCTTCTTATTCTCCATTGCTGAGTCTGCCTGATCCTTATTTGCATTAGCACCGGGCGAGTACCTGCTTACGTTCACTTACTTCACATGCAGCTCTTTGTTAGGTACTCTCATAAAGCAAACTTTACACTTTTGTCTATAAAGTGCTAAATAAGCACGTATGTGGATAGATGTGCCCAGAAGCTGAAGGCACATGATGGAATATGTTTGCTGAATCTAAGCCAGACTGAGACTGGGCACCAGCCCTTAGTCCTCTTTCGCTGTTTCTTAACACATGAAAGCAATAGTCTATACTTCTGGATGACTTCTTTATTGAGCATTCATCCTGACTGGTTTGCAGGGGGTTAGTCAACAACACCTATTCACTGAGCATTCATTCTGATTTCTTTGTGGGGAGGTTAATGACATAGTGCAAAACAACAAAACAAAACAACAAAACATGTTATCCCACACTTTACTTTACCTATTGCAAAAAATCTGATTTTGAGGAAGCAGGTTTGCTGCACATGAGTTGCAAATCAACTTTAATTGTGTGACCTGAATTTGTTGGTATAGCAACAGTTTGGATATGCCATATTTCCTTGCCAATCTACCCTGGGAGAGTAGTGCATGGTGCTTACCAAGGACAGCAGGTGGGCATGGGAAATGACCAGGGCCATGGACCAAATGTGTCCCTTGGGCCAGAGGTTTCTCATCCCTGCACTGTTGTGGTAGTTGTTGTGGTTTTTATATCCTGCCTTTTTCTAGACTGGGACTCAAGGCAGCTTATACAAATTAAAACAACACAGGTAAGATACAGAAAGCTAAAAACATATAAAGCGTAACAGTTAAAAGGTAGTTACCGTATTTTTCGCCCTATAGGACGCACTTTTTCCCCTCCAAAAATGAAGGGGAAATGTGTGTGCGTCCTATGGGGCGAATACAGGCTTTCGCTGAAGCCTGGAGAGCGAGAGGGGTCGGTGCCTGCATTCCCGGGCTTCGCGCAGCTCTGAGCAAACCTAGGGAGCCCGGTGCTAAGTCGTGCCGGGCTCCCAAAGGTTGTGCAGAGCTGCCTGCATTCTGAAGCCTGGGGCGCGCTGAAGAGCGTGCCTGGGCTTGGCGCAGCTCTCCGCAAGCCTGGGGAGACCGGTGCGGCTCCCTAGGCTTGCGGATAGCAGGCTGTTCTGGGGGCTGGGGTCGGGGGAAGCTCGGGCTTCCCCCGCGCCAGCCCCGTGCCTGGGTGGGGGGAATGATTTTTTTTCTTTATTTCCCCCCCCCAAAAAAAACTAGATGCGTCCTATGGGGCGAAAAATACGGTAAACTATAATAGAATAAGAATTTAAAAATCTACAAAGTAAATACAGGCATGTAGAAAACCGTATGTGACTCTGAACTCAATAATAGCAATGAAACAATGCAATCCTTTGAAGTTTCCTACTTCAGACAATACAGGGGGATTTTGCAGGGCCAAACTGAGCTTTGCTGCTAAAATTAGAGTTATGCATTAGTGATTTTGAATGTCAAAATCTGGCTCATTTTTCATTTCAGCAATATAGGGTCAGAAAGAAATTTCACACTTGGATATGTTAGTTTCAAGGCGAAAACTTAATTAGCTCAGCAACAAGTGTGAGCGCTAGGGTTTTGCTTTAGGGAAGCATACAGAAAACACTACAATCAATCCCCCCCCCCGAAGATTCTGTTGCCTATGTTTGCATGTACATTTCAGTACAGCAGCTAATTATAAATTGTAAAAACATAAATTGTAAACTCTTACATTCTGTTCATAGTGATTTTATTTTTTTAAGTACCTTTTTCCTTCCAGGAAGATCACTATGGCCATGGGGTAACCAACCTGGCTCCATCCATCGTACAGATATTGGGCACCTGGAGGGTGCTGCAGATTCCCTCTACATGAAAGAACCGTCTGCTCTGATTGCTATTTACGTAGGTCTTCAGAGTGGAAGGGAGACATATTCTTGCATCCGCCACCAGTCAGGTGAGCCATGGCAGTCAGGTGTCCTGTGCTGCACCCCCTCACCCCCACGAAGAACATCATGGCAAGGGAGAGACCTATTTAGCCTTGTCCATTGACCAATGAATGAGCAGCAGTATCAAGTCTATCAGACTGCGACTGTCATATATACAAAACTCCAACTTTTTCAACTCAGACATACTACTGAGCAAACCATAAATAAGTATGAAATACTACACTCAGATACCTCATTTGAAACTTCCCTGACCTACCCAATCCGAAAAAATCCTAATCAGTAACATATACCCACCCCTCTCTAAAATCAAACCGACCCGTATTCAACCAAACATATGAATGAAAACAGGAAAAAGGCCCATCAAGCTTAAACCTCACTATCCAACCAAGAGAATTGACATTATTCAGTAATATACCAAAAATATTAATGAGCACCAGCCTTAAAGAAAACATTTTAATATTTATCAAAGGTATATCACTGCCCAGACTGTGCTGAATATACAAGAATGATGTGATTTGCTGGAGGTGCGTAAAAATTAAAGCCTGATTTTCTTCACATTTTGGAAGTGTGTCAAAATAAACTATGGTATTTATGAAACACTATGCTCAACATAGTATTGCTCTGGTCCATGGGGTCACCTCTTTATCTTAAAGTTAGAAGGAAGGAACAAGGACCTACACTTGGTCACAACTTTCTTGACAAGTGCAATAATCCATATAGCTTGGATCATGCTAAATTTGGTGTTCTCTAAGTCTTATCTGCCAATGAAGAACTGTTAGTCGAAACACATCTTGCTGCAGATATTGGCTTTGGACAATGTTTGTTTCATCAGGTGCCATGTCACTTCATTTAACTGATTTGTTCTTCTTCTTCTTCTTCTTCTTCTTCTTCTTCTTCTTCTTCTTCTTCTTCTTCTTCTTCTTCTTCTTCCTATACTGCCCTATACCCGGGACGTGGCTGGTGCTGTGGTCTAAACCACTGAGCCTCTTGGGCTTGCCGATTGGAAGGTCGGCGGTTCGAATCCCCATGACGGGGTGAGCTCCCGTTGCTCGGTCCCTGCTCCTGCCAACCTAGCAGTTCGAAAGCACGTCAAAGTGCAAGTAGATAAATAGGTACCACTCCGGCAGGAAGGTAAATGGCATTTCCGTGCGCTGCTCTGGTTCGCCAGAAATGGCTTAGTTATGCTGGCCACATGACCCAGAAGCTGCCTGCAGACAAATGCTGGCTCCCTCGGCCACTAAAGTGAGATGAGCGCCGCAACCCCGAGTCGTTCGCGACTGGACTCAACTGTCAGGGGTCCTTTACCTTTATACTGCCCTATACCTGAAGGTCACATGTAATCAGTTTGTTGATGAATATATCAGTTTGGAAATGAATATATTGGCTATAGGGCTATGGTATTGTTTTTATTGTTTTAAAGCTGGTTTATGTATGCAAAAGATGCATATTTATTTCAGATGTTACCTTGACTTTTTATTTTATCTGTATAGTGTTGGTCAATGAACATATTCTATTTGTTCTTGATTACTAAGTCAGTAGCAAGTTCTAATGAGTTCAATGTTGTTTTCTCCCAGAGAAGTGGCCTTAGATTTTTGCCCTTTTTTTCAACAACAGATGCTTCATATTTAAAAATTCACAAGATCTAAAATAGAAGAGATCTGCCCCATTAGAACTGAGGAATCAGAAATGTGCGGGGAGAAATGTGTTACCTTTTACCACCAGGTTTCCAGTGCTGCTAGCTGCCCCAAAATGATTTGTTGCTATACACGTGTAGCTTCCTGCATCAGCTTTAGTAACATTGGTAATCTTCAGAGTTCCATCTTCCAAAATAGTGTGTCTGAAAAACAATGGAGAGATGCAGGTAAGAAGAAGAAGAAGAAGAAGAAGAAGAAGAAGAAGAAGAAGAAGAAGAAGAAGAAGGAGAAGAACTGCAACACTCAACGTTTATTATTTACATTTCAGGGGGTTGGACTGGATGACTGTTGGGTTCCTTCCAACTCTATGATTCTATGAATACAAACACCTGAGAAACCACTGCAAGTTACAAGAGAAGTTGACTTGAGAGACTATTAAGGAGGCAGAAATACATTAATCCAACAGAGACAAATTCCATGAGTTCTCAGTGTCCCTGGACTTAATACTGAGCGGTGCCCAGGTCCTGGTGCAAGAAGTAAGTGTTGTCAAGTCAATTGGGAGCAGTGGCCGTGTCACTATTTGGGGTGTAGATGTAGATGTAAATGGCCAACGGCCAAGAAAACTCCAACACAGTCACATTTCACTTCAAAAGAACCCAAATGAGGGGATTGGTAAAAAGGAAGCTGAAAGGCAAAGCCAAGAACGTCAGATCACTCTGAAATGCTTGGGATTTGTTTGAAAACACAATTATTATAAGCTCATCTGGAGTGTAAGGGATGCAGGTGGTGCTGTGGGTTAAACCACAGAGCCTAGGACTTGCCGATCAGAAGGTCGGCGGTTTGAATCCCCGTGACGGGGTGAGCTCCCGTTGCTCGGTCCCTGCTCCTGACAACCTAGCAGTTCAAAAGCACATCAAAGTGCAAGTAGATAAATAAGTACCGCTCCAGCGGGAAGGTAAACGGCATTTCCGTGTGCTGCTCTGGTTCTCCAGAAGCGGCTTAGTCATGCTGGCCACATGACCCGGAAGCTGTACTCCGGCTCCCTCGGCCAATAAAGCGAGATGAGCGCCGCAACCCCAGAGTTGGTCACGACTGGACCTAATAGTCAGGGGTCCCTTTACCTTACATCTGGAGTGTATACCGCAGATCAGGAAGGCTAAGAACATGGGCATCCAGCAGAGTCAAAGAAGCTTTGGAAAGAGATAGTGGTGGTGGTTGTGAGAATGAAGGAGAGAGAAACATCCCTCACCTCCTTCAAACCTCCAACTTTTTAGAGGGAAATTGAAGGCATGCTTTTGTACCCTATCAGCAGAGGTGTAAGGGGGATGGGGAGGTGAGCAATACAAGCAGGGCAAAAGCCCCTAGTTCACACACACACACACACACACACACACAGAGAGAGAGAGAGAGAGAGAGAGAGAGAGATTGCTTAAATTAGAATAAGTTTCTTTTGTTTTACAAAGTTCACTTGCCTGAAGAGAACAATAACCAAAGACTGCTGTTGCACAATCTCCATTACTCTCAACTACAGAGTTCTACAAGTTCCACTGACATGCACAATCACAGCCATGGGTGTTTTGGACATAACACATCAGTATAGCAACTGGAGAATGGCACTCTCTTACATGTAGTGAGATGAATCAATATGTAAATGATTTATTGATAAAAAGTGGCATACAAATCTTGAAATAAATAAGGAAATAAACACTATCCAAACTTCAGCATCTTGATGACATCTGTCAAAAAATAATAATCTTGTTTTACCCAGGTTTTATTTTAAATACTTCCTGGCTTGTCTTTTTCTCCTGCACCCAAACGTCCTTGCATTTTCTGCATTTTTTACTTTGTAGTGTAATGTTAGGCTGCTGATCACTTGAAAGGATTTGAGGATTTCCAATTCCAAGGAAGTGATGCTGGTAATTCTGGTATCAGCTCTCTGAGCCTCAAGGGGTTAGCATTACTTTACAGAATACAAATCTGTGCTGCTTGCATCTGTGAACTTGAGGTGTGAAGCTAGCTCTCTATAGCGAGTGGATGTCAGGAGGTATCTTGTGGCAGATATTAAAACTGTGAACAGGCAACCAAATCGTTTCATGAATCTGTGCAACCAAATTCTAGAACCACCATTCCTTTCAGTAATCTTCTTCATTTCATCCAAAGGATTTGCAATAAAACTGACAAATACCTGCTTAAGACAGTTGCAGGTTTTTGTTAAAATAAATATACCAGAGCCTTAATTTTCCTCTTTGAACTGTGACTCACTGATGAAAGGGATTCAGGGCGACTAATCTAACCATTCGTTTCTGCTGAAGGTGCCTTTTTTCTTTTTCTTTTTTAAGCCATACTTATATTTTGAAGCTGTTGGGGCAGATGTTAACATAAGTAATTATTCTAGCACTTTGAAATTTGTTAAAAGGGTGCTCAGGAAATAGGAATGACTTGCACTTGTTTGTGTTGCCTCAAAAATTCCCTTTGTAAATGTTAAAACAGGGGGAAAGGCCCTTTGAGGCTACTGAATTGCTAATTGGGTTGAAAGACAATGTCCCTTGATCAGCCATGCCAAGTGGCTTTATGGGAAACATTTTGTTTGAAGGTGAGAAGTTCAAACAAATTAAGCATTTTCCATCTTACTGAGAATCAAATATGTTTCAGCTGACAGATTACATAAGGAATTTCAGTGGGTCAGAGTTTGTTGGATAATCTCAAACTGGTCCTAATGGATGAACGGGGTTTGCTGACCAAAAGTGTACTGCAAGTTTTATCCAAAGATGGTACAATACTAAATAAAAATAGGGTTGTCACCAGATAAAAGAAGTGTTCAACTATAACCCTATGCACATTTACCTCTGAGTAGATGTGCACAGAATACATTGTTAGTCAACTGGTAATATGAACCAGCTAATTGAGCAATTCAATAAAATAATAGTGTAGATGAAAATCACATACTTTGTTTTTAGATTATATAAGTCTATGTTACCGCTTAGCTTGCATGCACCAACTTCTAAAATCCATTGCTTCTTGAAGAGATGATCGTTCTAAGGCTCCATTTAACACCTATGTTTTTGTAAGTACCCGATTAATGTGTGGAACCCTTCCAGTCATCAGAAAGTGTTTATTAATTTAAGTAATTAACGCACGCACGCACGCGCGCTCACACACACACACGCTTCCTTTAATGGGGTTCCAATGTCAGCTGTGCATGGATGACATGTTAACACCCTTGGGTTTTGGCATGCAAGCAGTATATCAATTCATAAAGAATACCCACTCTACACTGAGCCTCTTGGGCTTGCCGATTGGAAGGTTGGTGGTTCGAATCCCCGCAACAGAGTGAGCTCCCGTTGCTCTGTCCCAGCTCCTGCCAACCGAGCAGTTCGAAAGTACACCAGTGAAAGTAGATACCATATTTTTCACTCTATAAGACACACATTTCCCCCTCCAAAAATTAAGGGGAAATGTGTGTGCGTCTTATGGAGCGAATGCAGGCTTCTTGGTTTCAGCGATAGCAACGCGAAGCCTCCGAAGCGCAGTGGGAGCGCTCCCGACGCGCTCCGGAGGCTTCGCGTTGCCTTCACTGAAGCCTGGAGAGAAAGAGGGATCGGTGTGCACTGACCCTCTCGCTCTCCAGGCTTCAAAGATAGCCGCCTGAAGCCTCCGGAGCGCAGTGGGAGCTCCCACAATTTTACCCATTATAAGCTACTTTTTATTTCTATCAACTCGTGCCTATGTGTCTACCATTCTTGTAAATGTTTTAATATGTCCATTGTTCGTCCAGGACTCTAACCTAGGTTTACAATGTTTGATACAAAAGTGGGACATCTATAGATGTACATCATAGGATTAAGTACAAACCAGGTTGTAAATGAAAAGTGGCATATTTGTCTATGACACTTCCTTTAAAGTACATGTGCTGAGGATGGCAGCTTTTAGCTGTATTTTCTGAAGTTGGATTAATCGTAGTGCTTTGTATGGGGAAAAGTTTACCGTTTTGCAGTGCAATCCTATACTGAGTTCAGTGGGGCTTACTTCCAGATAAATGTACAGTGGAACCTCGAGTTACGTACCGTCCTCCTTATGAATGTTTTGGGTAATGAGCTCCGCTAACCCAGAAGTAGGTGCTCCTGGTTGTGAACTTTGCCCCAGGATGAGAACGGAAATCACGCGCTGGTGGCACAGCGGCAGTGGAAGTCCCCATTAGCGAAAGCATGCCTCAAGTTAAGAGCAGTTTCGGGTTAGGAACAAATTAAGTTCGTAACCGGAGGTACCACTGTATAGGATGGCAGCCTAAATCAGAAGCCTGGCTTTTTAGTTAAGTAACTTATTGGTAGAGTGATTTCCAACCTTAGCTGATGTGGAAGAAAGCAAATGCCTTAATTGATTGGGCATTTGGTTGTCATTGTATTATTGTAATATGCAAAATAGCCATCAGAAAACCTTTTTCATTTGAATTAAATATAATAAAGCTTATCCAGGCTCCATAGTCAAAATGTGTTAATGTTTACTTACGTTAGTCATTAATCTCTATTGAATATTGTCTGCTAATATCTGTGAATTTTGACAATACTTGACATAAACTAAAGATGTAAATCTGCTAATACTACTTGGGCTATCACAAATGAGCTATAACTGGGAATCTTTTTAGTCATACTGTAAGTTTTTATCAGCAAAAGGAGAGCAAGAGATAATTTTACACGGGGAAAAAATAAAGGTGATAAAAGGCATTGCTACATCCCTATAGAGATAGGTCATCTTATCTTCCATGTATTACATTATCTGCAACATACAGCAGCTGTTGATCTTTGCTGTGAACAGACCCACAGAGATGAAGAACGCATCTGAGTTTAGAGATAAATGGAAACACTCTTTTATTAAAAGTAAAGCTTTTTATGTCTAAGCCTTCAAAAACTGGCGGGCACCTCAGTTCTAGAGATCTGTGTTGCTGAATCTGACTTCGTATAATTATGATTGGTTTCAATTTTAAAAACATAAACACTTCAAAAACACTTCCTTTAGACTGCTGAGCAAAGGAACTGTTTTTGTCTTCAAAAATGTAATGCATGAAAGCATTTGTTGATGGTTCATCACTTTCTGTTTTGCCATTTGCAAAATGGAATACACAAAGCATCTGTAGAGGTTGGTCAGTCGGTAATGTAAATGGTAAGATGACTTGGCGTTAGGATTTATCATCCATAAGTATCTACAC